GAATAAGAGAATCTGCCACTAGAGAGACTTACAAAAAATATAAATGCTATTCTTTTCACTAAACATTTTCAATTTTGAAAAGTGTAATTATTTGCTGTGGCTGGTGTGGCTCAGTGGTCAAGTGCCTGCCTGAGAATGAAAGGGTCACCGATTCGATTCCCAGTCGGGGCACAAGCCTGGGTTGCAAGCCTGGTGCTCAGTAGAGGGCACGTAAAAGTCAACCACACGTTGATGTTTGTTTCCCTCTCTTTCTCCCTCCCCTCCTCTCTCTAAAAAATAAATAAATAAAATCTTTTTAAAAAAAGAAGTTATTTTGCATAAAATGCTTGTTTATAATATATCATGAGTTTATTTTAAAATAAAGATTTAACAGCATGGGGTTTTTTGCAGTTTCCATTTCAAATCCACTAAATATGGGCAGATAGATAGAGCACATATAAGCAAAGGCTCTTTAGAGTCCTTAATAATTTTTAAGAGCATAAGAATCTTATTTACAAATATGAAGTCGTCATGTTGTACATCTGAAACTAATATAATGTGATGTGTCAATTATACCTCAATTAAAAAAAGAATCTAAATTTTTAGGTTCTTATTTGACTTAGGGGAAAGAAGAAGTGTAAAAGAGTTTTGAAATGAAAAGGCGGGAATGGCTGCACTAACTTATACTGCTTCAATTGTTGTAAGTTTAAAACATTACAGCCTTTCACAGAAAGAGGAGGGGGAAGAAATCCCTGGGGTTATAGAGCCTGGGTTAATCATTAAAGCAGCTGCTCTTTGTTGGGTGCCCTGGAGGTGTTTCCACCCTGGGGCCAGTGCACTGGAGTAGTGCCTTGGGGTGGGTGAGGGGGTTGCCTTGTGTTTACAAAGCAGAGAAACTATTTATTGTGCCCATAAGCAAACTTCCCAGGCTGTTTTAGAAAGGGTGAGTGTAGAAGCTGAGTATCTGGAAACCTATTCCTCTAAAACTTTCTACTCAGGTGCACCCATGGGAAAGTCTTTAATGTGCTCCAGGAAAAGGTCTCCCAGAAGTTGCTGGTCTCCAGACCCTATGTGGAAACAGTGGGAAGGGGAAAACACAGAACCTTAGAGACTGGACATGTGGTAGAGAAAACCTGTTATTCACTGGGATTCCGAGAGCTATCTCCAAAGCCCCAGGGACACAAAAACCTACTTGCTAATGAACAATGTGACTCAGTCCCATTCCTGTGGTTGATGATCCATCCAGCATGGTCTTGTTCAGCTGTGTGGCTCTCAGGCTGTGTGATTGCCAGTCTGACAGACCTGGGGCTTTTTCCCAGTTAGGGTTGGGCAAAATCAAGCAGGATCCTTAAATTCTCCTAATCTCCTCATCTGCAAAGTAAGGATAAAAATACCTACTTCATATTTAAAGCACCGGGCATGCATTTTTTTAAAGATTTTGTTTATTTATTTTTAGAGAGGGGGAAGGGAGGGAGAAAGAGAGACAGAAACATCCATGTTTGGTTGCCTCTCGTGCACCCTCTACTGGGCACCTGGCCCACAACCCAGGCATGTGCCCTGACTGGGAATCGAACCGACAACCCTTTGTTTTGCAGACCAGCACTGAATCCACTGAGCCACACAAGCTAGGGCCATTATTTGATTAATGACAACCATTTCAGTGCTTACTCTTCCAGGAACTGACAAGGGATCTTCATTTATAAGATTTAGTCCCCACAAAAAGCCTGAAAAGTAATTATGGTATTTCTTTACTTTTAAGGTGAATTTTTGTCTACATTTAACACATCCAAAGTTGAATTTTATCTTGCATTCAATGTGTATATGGTTTGCCCTGTTTTGTACAAAAGTTAATAAACAGATGGTGCATCTTATAATAAAAAGTACACTATTGAGGCCCTGACCAAGTAGCCTAGTTGGTTATAGTTTCATCCCGATACACTAAGGTCATGGGTTCCATCCCCAGTCAGGGCACATACAAGAATCAACCCATGAATGCATAACTAAGTGAAACAACAAATCAATGTCTCTCTCTCTAAAAACAAACAAACAAACAAACAACAAATACAGCATGAATTTCCCTGTTTTATGAATGGAGAACAAGTTAAAAAATATTAAGTACCTTGCCCTGGCTGGTATAGCTCAGTGGATTGAGCTTGGGCCTGTGAACCAGAGGGTCAAGGTTTGATTCCCCGTCAGGGCACATGCCTGGGTTGCAGGCCGGGTCCCCAGCAGGGGGAGTGAGAGAGGCAACCACACATTGAGTTTCTCTCCCTCTCTCCTTCCCTTCCCCTCTAAAAATAAATAAATAAAATCTTAAAAAATAATATTAAGTACCTTGTCTAAGTCCACGCATTTGGAAGGTGGTGGGACAGAGAGGTGAACTGTGGACTGTCCACCTCCAAAGAACGGGGTTGCCTCAGGAATCCTTCACAACAGGCTGGTGCTGGCCCTCTCCCCAGCCCCTGGATTCTACCACACAGCCAGGAATTATGGAAAAGCAGCTAGCCCCACCCAGGCCTTGAGTGCCCGCTCTTTCTGCTCCTTGGTTCACTAAATGTAGTTGTCAGAATATCCCAGTGAGACATCTTTTGCTCAATTAATCCAGCATATCTGAGGCAGGGTTCCTCTGATGCCTGCAGCATAAGTTTAGGCCTCAAGAAACTAAACACAGAAAACTGGCATTGAGCATTTATGGGCAACGCAATGTTATAAAATATTTCATATGTGACAGACACTTCTCCACTATGCCCACCCTCATCCCCACCATCAGGTTCCTTTCTAACAGTCCTCCAAACCCAGCCTGCCGCCAATCCTCGTTTTATCCTACACATGGAATCACGTGGCTAATGATCCATGTGCAAAGGAGGTGAGGCTTCTGCCACTGACACCCACACTACTAAACACACCCAGACCTCTCTTAGAGAGTGAGCAAAGGGTTCTCTTCAGTCCCAAGTGGCCAAAGTACCATGTTTTGAGGGGGTTCTTTTAGAATCACCTTAAAAGTATGTCAGAACCTGTAGGGTAAAACCAGCGTCTTCACAGATTCCCTGGGCTGTCCGCACACTGACCCTGAGGCCTGCTCAAGCTCAGAAGGGAATGAAGCCAAGCCACCCACGGCGTGTTGAAGAATGCGAGCTCAAAACCAAGTTCACAAAACACCCTTCAGAACTCAACTCCACCTAACCTCAGTTGTTTCCTCATTATTCTTTAAAGCATCAAAAAGGTTTGTGGTAAGGATGAAATAAAAGCCTTTGATCGGTATCTAGAAAAATTTCTGTTTTAATCGCTTTAGATGTGTTCCCAATGAATATTTTAGGATAATGATGTGGGGGGGGTACATGTCAAATTTGTTGCAAATATTTCTTAGCACTTTTTCCCCTTTTGCTTATGATTTTTTATGACACTGAACTTAAAATATTTTACACTGTGGAATCTCAGTATTTCCTTTGTAGTTTCTTTTATTGCTTTTAAGCTTGGTCTCTGTCCATCAAAAAATTAGATATTCACCAATATTTTCTCCTTTTTAATTAACAGTTTGATTAAAACATACACACAGGTCAAGATAGATGGTGCAATGCTATGATCACATTAACTTTTTCTTCCCAGTAGTTAACCCATTCTTGTAGTGGTGAGAGGAGACTTAAGAGGTGGAAAATTTTAGTTTAAGTAATAGCTAATAAGCTTAGTAATCAATGCATGTGAAAGCTTTTGTTTCAGGAGCTGAAGGTATGACCCACCCTGACTCCAGGATAAGCAGTTCCACCTTTGTTCCTCAGGAGGACTGCAAGCAACTCAAGATGGTATCTAAGCCATTGTGCTCCAGGGTGAGATGACCACCGCCCAGGACACAGCTAAAGACGACTGCCGAGGACAAGAAGGCTGAAGTCATTTTTTTTAATCCAATAAATTTTCCCTGAATTTCAAAACCCCTCACCACACCTTGTTTATTCCCTGCTATAAAAACTTCGGCCTGCAAAAAGGTGGTCTGTTACAGTATGAACCCGCCATCTCCTCAGATCACCGGCCATCTGAATAAAGCACCCATGAAGATTCAATCCCTGTCTCTGCTTATTGGGTTTGGTAGTGACAGGCAGCCTGAACTCTGGTGTCTTTTCCAGTTTCAGTGGTACTGTTTTTTAAATAATTCTAAGTTAAAATATTGTTGCCTTCACTGGTGTGGCCCAGTGGGTTGAGAACTGGCCCCAAACCCCAAAGTTTCTGGTTCCATTCCCAATCAAGGCACATGCCTGGGTTGCGGGCCTGGACCCCAGTTGAGGGCATCCTAGAGGCGGTTGATTAATGTTGCTCCTCTTTCTTCTTCCTTTCCCTTTAAAAAAAAAATTAAACATCTTAACTGTGCTGGTGAGAAAAGAAGAAAGGGAGCCCAGGACAAAGATTAGAGAATCAATGGGCCGGAGGCTCCCACCAGCCACCCTGGCCTGCCGGCAGGGGAGCACCTGGGTGGAGGGCAGGCCCAGCCCAGCCCCGCTGTGTGTGTGTAAGTGCTGCTGGGGGAAGGCGCTGGGGAAGGGGCATGGGATGGAGGGAGTGAAAACTGAGGGGCACACTGCACACTGTAACGGTGGACGCATGTGAGCATGCACTTGTCAAAGCCCATGGAACTGTGCAACAGAGCCGCCCCTAGTGAAAACCACGGATTCCAATGAACAATCATGGATCAATATTGGCTCATCCATCAGCTGTTAACAAATGCACCACATGAGTGAAATTTGTATAAGGGAGACTTAGTACACGGACAAGAGGGCATATGGGAACTCCATACTAGCTGCTATTTCCCATCAACCTAAAACTGCTATAAAAAATAAAGTCTATTAACTTTTTCTTAAAAGTTGACACACTTTATTGTTTCCCCAGGGCTGGCACTAGGTGATGGGTGTCTGCACGTCCCGTCTAAAGGAAGGGGGCGGGGAGGGAGATAACAGCCAAGCAGTGACGCTGGGCACGCTGACCCCAAGCGTCAAAGATTCTCCCGCCCCAAAAGGACCACAGGTGCACTTCAGTGTATTTCAATCAGGTATTTTATTGTTCTGGCAACTGCAAAATATACAAATTTCTGAAAGGCAGCTCCTGTTTGAAAGCTGGCACAGCTTCGTCCCAGGTAATTAATCCAGATATACAGAATGCAGAGAAGTTGTAGGTCACACACAGAAGGCCCCAAGCCAACCAAGGAACAATAAACCTAATCTAAAAAGCTTTCTGTTTTCAGGCTCCCCTATACACATTAAATAAATAAATAGCACATATGCTATCAAAATAATAAAAAAATAAATTTCAAGTATTACAAACGAAATCATCATTGGTGTGGTTCAAACAGTTTTTCTCCTCCCCCTAAATGAAGAGTTTCATCCACGGTCTCAGGACAGAAAAAGGAGAGAGGGGGTATACCTACCCCAAAACAAATATGCAAAGTTAAAAACATTGGTCCCAGTTATTTTTCAGGGGGCAGAGGGTGAGAGGCAAAACACTGGTCCATGACTGCAGCTCCATGCGACGCCCCCTTGGGGCAGGTCACCGGCTTTCACCTCAGCAGCCTCCTGCTCTCTCCGAGGTCCCCCTCCCCATCCATTTATGTCTGCCTCCCCACCTCAGCTCTTGCAAACCACGTCCTGTGGCAGGCAAGGCCCCATGTAAGTCTGTGCTGACATCAGGCTGCCAGAGGCAAGGGAAGCACCTTCACACAGCCCCACTCAAATCGTCTGCTGAGAGTCAAGAATAGGAGTTAGCGCTGACACCCTGAGAGAGGTCCAGAAGGTGGGACACAATCAAGTCACCCTCAAGAGCAGAACTGCAGGCCCCTGCGTCTAAATATATGACCAACCTACACACATACACTTGAATCCACTAGACTCAAGACAGCAGGAAACAGGGAAAATAACCCAAGTCTTCGGTGGCACAGAATGTACATACAGACCTCCTCTCTGGCAGACTGCCAAGGGGGGGACAGGGTGTGAGTGATTTGGTGTGAAAACCTCAAATTTGATTGTAGGGTTTCTGAAGTGTGTTCCATTTCCCATGTAATCCCAACCACAGAAATGTACATTCTCCAGGAGCTCCTCTCAAACATCGCAAAAACAAAAATAGCTGTTCTCTCCACTTCCAGCTCCGGCTGTCCAAGCCTGCCCACCCCCACCCTCAGCTGTTTTGTGGGCTGAGAGGGGTGAGGATGCAAGGCTTAAAAGCAGAGGGTGGAGAGGAAAGAGACCTTTGGCACCAGCTTTTAGAAGGATTCTCAAAGGGTTATTTGGACAAATGCTGAATCTCCAAATTGTTTCTCCTGGGCCTCAGGACACCCCCTTCCTCCCCCAGGACCTGGAGGCAACAAGGAAAAACCAGCAGGTAGAAACTGCAGGTGCTGAGCATCATCACATGTCCCCAAACCCCTGCTTTGAATGGAGACCACATTCCCCAAGGAACCCAACACCATGCCAGGCACACAGCAGGCACTCTGCGAAAGTGTATGGCAGCTCAGTCTGAGGACGCCACCAACAGCCTCTTAGAGGAAGTGGCCTAGAGTGAGGGCCACTGTCCCCATCTGGCAAATAAGGGGGGTGAAGGATGTCCTGAAGAAAGGAGGCCGGATCTTCGTGCTCCTCCACGCTATCTCCCAGGATCCTCGCTCTCCTGCACGCTGTCTCCCAGGGTCGTCTCCCACCGATCTGAGCGCAGGCTCCAGCCAGCACCCCTGGAATCCTTTTGAGCTCCTCATCTTGTGGGCATGGCCCAATTCCCCACATTCTTTCACAGCTCCAGCCCCCAGGGCACAAAACCCAATCATCTAAGTTCTGAAGAGAAGATGTGACTTTCGGGTCACATGTTCTGCCAGAAAAAAAGGCGCAAAAGCAAGCAGCCCCAGGAGAACCACCTCTCAGGGGCCTCTGATCCAGGCCTGAGAGTGGAGGGACCACACAGCTCCCCTGGAGGGTGAGGCCCTGGTGCTGTTTCCTCTCGCTGACACAGTCGGATGGTCCTTCAACATCTTCAGAGGCCAAGCACAGACCTGGGAAGGTGTGTGGACATGCGGAAGGCCACTGCTTAGCTGACCAGCAAGTCCAGCTCGGGGGCTTCTTTCTGCCTGCACCTCCAGACCGGCTGTCCTGACCGGCCCCATCCCAGCACATGTCCTTTCTTCCCAAGTCAACATCCCAGGCCAAGATGCACAGACAAGCCTTGTGCGAGTTTTCAACATCCCTGAACCTTCAGCAGCTGGGATCTAGGCCCCTTTAATTTTAGGATTCTGGGAGCAGAATCCTAAAATTCACCTCCCCAGCTGGGAACACTCCAGGCCAAGCTCACAAAAGTGAAACAAAATCAAACAGCACAGAGGTATCCGACATGCCCTCCTCAGGGCCTTCTCTCACCTCCTCCACTGCTCATTGTCCTCACCCAGCCTTGTGGAGAGTCAGTGAGACCACTCAGCACTGGACAGTGGGGAGGGTCGGGGCGGGGGTGGCCACAGCTGGATGAGGAAGCATGGACTCTGCGCACACTCAGGAAAGGCATGCTGGGGTCTCGGCCACCCCAGTGCCGTGGGGGGCATGGGTTCACTCTGACCAGCAGACCCCTCTTCCGTGGCACCCTGTCCCGTTCCGGGAGAAGTCCTTGGAACCGTTGGCCTCAGGCGGATGGAAGAGCCCCTACCTAAGCTGCAGGAAAGGAAATGGAACGGAACCAACGGGTCTGCCTCAGTGTGTCCCGGAGGAGTCGACGTTGCTCTGCGAGCCATTCATGTTCTGTTTTCAGGGGAAAAGAGGGGGCATTATTATTACTGTTGCCTAGGTTTCTAAAGCAAAAGACTAAAGCCATGCAGTTGAGATTTCACCTTCCCCCTCCCCAGACAAAAAACACAACCTGAAAGAGCATATTAACCAAACTGTTGGCAGTTGCCCAGGGAGGCCCCAGGAGCACGTGGAGGTTAAGGCCAGAGCCGCATGGGAGAAGGGCCTCGTGGCAGAGGCCTGGCATCTGCCTGCAGGAGGCAGGAAGGAGGGTGGGGACAGCAGGCAGCTCTGTAGGTCAGAGCTGTTCTGGGGAGCAATGGGGTCAGCACCTAAGAGACCCTCAGCTCACAGCCCTTGAGAGTCCAGGGAAGTCTTGCTGGCCACGCCAGGCAGAGGATGTGCCGGGAGCCCCTAAAGAAGCATAAGGACTCTCCTCCCAACCTGGCTCAAGCAGAGCCACACACCTCGCCCCTCGGGATCCAGGTCCCAGGAACATGGGCTCAGCGCTGGAGCACAGGTGCTGCGAGCTGGCTAGACATGGTGGGGGAGGACCCAGGCAAGGGAGCCAGGCTGAGAGGGCATTGTCACTAAAGCTCTCTTCCCGTTCTAGTCAGAGCATTCCTAACCAGAGCCTCACCTACTTAAAAAAATGTTTTTTCAGCCGGCTGGGGACAGAGGATGGCTGCCACCACATAGCCACAGTCCCTTTACCTAACCTCCTCAATTTACCTGCAAAAAAGGGAAACGCCTTTCAAAAAGTATTCTCTCCCACCCTAAGAGTCTACAGTAAGACTGTCTTAAATGGGTCCAGGGAGCAAAGGGGACCCAGGCAGACAGATATGCAAAGATCACCTCAGCCCCCTCTCCTCCTCTCCCCATGCAGAACCGAGGGCCCAGGTGCAGAAATCCCTACAGGAGAGAACCCCGGGCTGGCGGCACTGAAGCCCAGATCTGAGCCTGCTCTCAGCCAGACTCAGCAGCCCAGGTGACCCGACCCTCCAACCACAAGTGTGTCAGACAGCCTCTGGGGCCGGGGGCATCTGCTGGGGAAGGCCCTGTCACCTTGCAACCCAGCCAACTTATGGGATCAGAGAGTGAGGTTCCACTGCCTGGCTAGCTCCAACCCGCCCTCGTATATGGCAAGCCCAAGGCTCCGAGCACCCACAAAGGACAGCAATGAGACAATGACACTGGTGGTTGCAAGCACAGGCTACGTCAAACCATTCACTCATGGTGTCCCTGGCACAGGATGCATGAAGGGAAAGGAGGAAGCAAGAGAGGGGACTTCAAGACAATGGTGCTGCTCTTAAAAACCACAAGTTCTCTGGCACAGGGTGTATGAGTCACGTACTTTACAATGGGCAGTGTTCACACAGAACCAGACGCCCTGCCGGGCAGAGATGCCATGACTCAGAGATGCGGAGGGCACAGAGAGGGGCATGCACCAAGCCATTTACCTTTCCAAGGTTAATAAGGAGAAAACTTTGAGAAAATGTGACAGACAGTTCGTCTTTCAAGCATAGTGGGGGCAAAGGAAGAAACATGTTGGAAAAGAAAAACAAAACATCTTTAGTAGTACTTTGTTCTTAGTGTGCATTTGAAATTTCAAAATCAAGGGTGCAGGGTGAATGGTTGGCCCCAAGCACTGACAGAGCCCTTGGGGAGGGACTGCAGGGCACCGCGTCTGGCTAGGCTGTCTCGCCCACTTCACAGGGAAACCACCCTCACTGGCATCCTCAAGCCACAATCCCAGGGGCTCCCCTGCTTCCCATTCTCTTGGTGCTCCTGCTCCTCATAAGAAGAAAGCCCTCTGGCCTGTGTGGAAGGAACAGGAGGGCATCGAAATGCAGAGTGGAGTGCAAACCAGAACGTAGGACATACCCACCAAAGCACAGGGCACCGCCTCTCCCTCGAGAACAGCTACCAGCCACTGGGCACTGACTATGTGCCAGAGATTCTGTAAGTGCTACATTATCAAAACACCTTGTAACATTCCTATCTCCATTTTACGGCTGAGGGAGTTGGCATCCTAGAATTGCACTACCTTGCCCAGAGTTCCAAGGAGAGAGGATAGTAGAGCCAAGATCCAAATCCGGCTCAGTGTGACTTTAGTAACACATTTTGGGATCCTCGGCCCCAGACATGGGCTTGTTCTCCCCAGCTGCGCTGGGTGCTGAGGCCACAGAGAATGCTCCCCTCCCCAGAAGGAAGATTTCTTCCCTGGCAACAGCAGACCATGGGTCAAAAGGAACAGGAAATACACAGACCCATAGAGCTGCTACTATGCACACATTAAGTAAACACTCCTCAGCCTTGGGAAGCTGCTGCAGGGAGAGGATACAAGAGACAAACGTAAATCAAGCAGCTCTGGGCAGCCCCACAGGATGCAAATGTCAGGTGCCCGGGACATGGGCAGGTGAACAGTAGTATCTTGGCTGTTCCCCAAAACGAGCCCAGACAGGACTGGGGGGCCTGGTTAAATCGGGGTTCTGCCACTTCACTGGCAGGATGTCCATGGCAAGTGACTTAACCTCAGCCCTCATCTGGTAAACGGGAATAGCGTCTGCCCTGCAAACGTCCTGGGGTTATTTTAAGGATCAAAGATAGCAGATCTGAGCAAGCATGTTCTCCGTAATCTGTAGAGTATGATGAAATACATTTTATGACAGGTGCAGCCACCTAACCTAAGCTCGATGCCAAACAACTGTTTTCCCAGAACAAGCCAAGCCTCTAAGGCTCATCAGGCTGAACTCTCAAGCCCTCTCCTCATCTGCGAGATTTGAGTGGCTGGGGAGGGTGATATTTCATGGTGGCTGTCACTGTGGCTACGATATAGAACCACCAGGGCAACAGAAACGCTCTGGCCGAAACTTAACCAGAACTTTCTGCACAGAGCTCTGGCTATAGGAAAGGGGAAACCACGCAGGTCTGATTCAAAAGCGGCTCCCACTCCTGAACATGGCCATTAAGGCCGAGCAGGTCCCCATGCAGGACAACTGGATCCAGAGCAACAGTTTCCAGAGTGGGGGTCCCTGCCAGGACAAGAAGGAGAAACTGCAGGGTCTCTCTGTTTTTGTTTTGCAGATTAGGCTCTGGGTAAATGTTCCTCTCAAAACAAAAGGGCTCTCCAGGGGAGACACAGAACTTAAAACACAATGGTAGCCAGGGTAACATCTAGCTTACCACCAAGATCTGAGGCCAGAGGGACAAATGAGATTAATACTAATGGTAACCCAGGACCCTGACAGGCAGCGAGGAGGAAGGGCCAGCTGTAGCAGTGGCAGCATCAGGGCACAGAGAAAACAGATGGGCCGTCATTACTTCTCGTGTCCTTGCTTAATAATCCCTGAATCCCCTTCCCCCTCCTCCTGTGCCCATCTTCCTCCTTCAGATCCCACAGAAACCGTCGTTATCCTCAACACAGTAACAGGCAGGGGGGCAAACTGGCAAGCAAGGAGAAAGAGGTGCTAGCAGAAAAATTATTCAGAGAAAAATACTTACAAACAGGCTTTCCCTAGCAAGGGCTGCAGAGAGAAAAGGTGGAGAGAGAGAGGTCAGTAGTGGGACAGGCTATGAGGTCCGAGTCACATGGAGTCAGGACATCCTCTGCTGGGACCCTCCCGCCTGGCCCAGCTTCCAGGCTCCCTGCGGATTCAGCTCGGCAACCCTGGGGGACTGTCCTGTCAGAGGGCCGGGGAGGCCCCGCCACGCGTCCTCTGTGACCCAGGACAGTGCAGCCCTGCATGCCCGAGCCCAGCCCAGGCTGGACCCCCCAACCGTCACCGATGGTGGCCTCTAAACTTCCAACTAGGACCCATAGTTTACACCAAAACAGTGTCATAGACACACCACGCAGAACTTCAGTTCTCAGTTTTCATAAAAACACCTCTAATTTTAGACCTGAAAGGAGTACTAAGTAGACAGCTCCACATCCTACCCCCTCATTTTAAAAGATAAGGGGACTGAAGGCTCGGGAGGGAGGGAGCCTGACAATAAAATCCTACAGCTGGTGCCGGGGGCAGACACCACTGTGCTCACACTCAGCACTTGCTCCCCCATTCCACCTGCTTTGGCAGCAGGCACTCCCCCATTCCACGGACGAGAAGACTGAGGCCCGAAGAGGTTCGGTGGCCTGCCCGAGGCTGCACAGCACCCGCCCCCACATCACATTTCTGGACACCACAGGGTTTAAATGAGCTTCAGGAGAAATGCGGAAAGGGTCTGCGGGCCTCAGCATGGAGCTCATAAACAAATCCAGTTCAAAATTCAGCTGTGACTTATTTGTGAGAGACCGGGCCTAGTGGGTAGAGGTGGGGGGACACCCCTCGGTGGGAACAAACCTGTGCCCAGAGTTTTCTATGCCCCACAGATTCCTGGCTGTCACTGAAGGAAAAAATGGTTTTCTAAAAACAAATCTTAATGCCCAACAGCCACGATCTTTCAGCCTTTAATCTTCGTATTGAATAAAGTGAAATTTAGTTGGTTTTCAGTGTTTTGGTTTTCTTTTTTTTACTATCTGCTAAATGAACTACATTCGTGAGGCGGTGGCCATTTCCGGACCACCCAGCTCTGTGAGGCGGGCTGCCCAGGCTCTCCCCAGGCCACACCGGCTGCAGGTGAGGACACTCTCCATGGGCCCCTTCGACTACAGCTTTTCTGCAACGGGGAGCCATGGCAAGAAAGGAAGGAAAACTACGCAGCCAAGGGTCTGGGACAGGAAAGACACCCTCAGGCCACACCGAAGCCAACGGCCCAGAGCTGCATGGAGACTGACTTCCCAGCTAGGGGCTGCCTTCAACTTCTCTCGAGAAAAACCTGTGCATGAATGTGGATGGGACACAGACACCTCACCACTTCTTCTGCTCTGCCCAGGTCTGCCCAGGGGAGGTGGCCTCCTCACACAGCAGGTGTGCGCACGCGCAGCCATGGCCAGGGAGGACCTGCCTGCAGACTTCCAGGATGCCCCACACTCCTGAGGCTATCCCCACGCGCTCTCCCTCCACCACCCACCCGGACAGGAGACACACTGCAAGGAAGGAAAGGCGGGGGGGTAACGCACTTGTCCGGGCAGCTGTGCGGGCACCTCCGGGGGCAGGCAGTTGGGCAGGGCAGCGGAGGTAGAGGCCACATGCTCCTCAAAGCTGTTGATGCGAGGCTTTTTGGTGGGCTCAGGGCTGGCTAGTGGGGTGACACTATTGCGTCTCATGAGTGGGTTAGGTCCCTTCTTTGCGTCCTAAGCAAGACAAAGACAAAAGAGAGAAGGCGACAGTTACGTGGAGAGGGAAAGTAAATAAGCCAAAAAACAAATCAAATCCAAATACAACACATTGCTCTGCTTTTGGATTTTACTGATACGACGAGACCGACCAAGGTGAATGGCCCTGGGGCCACGGGGCTGCCTCTTTGTCTAGCATCGCCCAGTCGGCAAGATGAGCAGACGATCTCCCCCCAAACCCCTTTTCCGGATCATTCCGAGACGCCCACCCAAATAAACATGACATTCACAAAGCAGGTGAAGGAAGAACAGCAGGACCACTTCTGCACAGTCATTCAATTACAGCAGGTACCAGGGTGGGAGAAAAGAACCTCGATGCCATCCTCTGAGAAGGAGAGCCAAGGGGAGAGAGGCCTGAGCGTGAGGCTCACACAACCACTAAGGGGTCAGGACAGCAGGAGGGCAGGGGGAGGTGTCCGTTCTGGACCCCTGCGAGCTGCCCACAAGCCAGGATCTGCAGAGCAGATGTGAAACGGCTCCTGCGTCCCGTAACTATGCTCCGGCTCTGGACCAGAACGGCAGGTTTCCAAGCCAGCCAAGGGACTGAAGACACAGAAGACCCGAGGGAGGCAGAAGTGGCCAAACACTAGTCTTCTCACCAAGTGCCATAGTGATCCTCATGGCTTGTCACTGTAGCTCATGACCCAGGAGCCTGAGTTAGGGTCGGTCTCCACCAAGACCCTGTCCTGGTTCTGTACAATACAGTGTTCAAGGACCATCAGAGCCCAGTTCAGCTGAACCCTGCTGCTGGGGGTCAGGCTGGGAGGCTGCTTCCCCCAGAACCTGAAGAAATGCAGCATCCTCCAACCACCCACATTCAGAAGAGGGCAACACAGAGCCAAGGGATGCCATCCTCTTGCGTTTCAGTCAACCAGCCAGGCAACTGCTGGTGGAAGCCAGAATTTTAATGCCAAAATCTTCTGGCCAAGCTCCCAGGAAACAGGAAAGTCCCCTGCACTAATGGGAATTTCATACTTGGTGTACGTGGAAGTGTCGGACTGATGCTGGCAAAGCACGCACTTCCAGTCGGTACAAAGTAAATTTCAACTTTCTTCCACAATACCCGCCTGGGTGGAAATTGGCCCTGCCCTCGGGAGAGCCCACCAGGCCGACCGCCCGAGTCTCAGACCTCCGGGGGAGATCCAATGCTACCAGGCACGGGGGTCTCCTGAAAAACTCTCCACCCACCAGCCTCTAAACGCAAATCATATGTTTCTCCAGTTCCCCTTCCTTTTGCATGATTATCATTTCTTGGTAATTCTGTACTTAAGTGCACAGAGATGACTGAGCAGATTTGCTGATCCTGTTTCAACCTGTAACTCTGGAACTTGAAAATAGTTTCAGGCACCCCAAAGGAAAAGGCAACAATATTTGTGCTGTGATTCCATTTAAGAGCAGAATATGTCTTCCTCTTTAACACTCACTTCTCAGGTCAAGTAGAAATGGGGGAAGAACGCATGGAAAGAGAAAAAAGAAGACACTAAGAAGCCACAGAGAAAGACAGGGCATGAGTACACAGATACTAAGAAAAGGGAGGGGAGGGAGTCACCCAGGCCCGCAGAGTCTCAACAAACTACCTCAGGGAGAACCCACTGGAAGACATACGTCAGCATTTACAGGCAACACCATACTAGGTGCTTCCCAAGAGTTCACACGCACTGGTCCCGCCACTCGACAGTCCTCGGGGTGGAGAACAGGATGGAGGCGCTGAAGGGCCAGAGGCACGAAACTTCCACTCACCTCTGACCTCTCCCGGTGTGTGTTCACTGACTCCACATTCAGGTAGATGGATTCCACACGGCAACCTGGGGCGGGGGGAGAGAGCAGCTCCTGGTTAAAGGGGATGGGACGCTTACAGCCCCACAACCACCAGAGCCACTGTCTTGGGGAGCCGGTCTCACCCGGCCTGGGCTATGTCACCATACTCACCATAAGCGACTGGAGTCAGTTTCAGGACGGTGTGAAGGGGGCATTTCAGGTAAGGCATCTCCTCTGAAGAAAAGAGAAACAGCCCCACGATTAGCTATGAGACTCGAGCATGGACATTCCCAGGCCCCCAGTGAGAGATCTGCCAGGTCGGAACCTCGGAGGCCTGGCTGGGCAAGGGTGTCTCCCCTGGCCCCCACCCCTCACTCAAGGCGGTGGCCCTAGAAAAAACACCTAGCGCGAAGAACAAAATCAAAAGGAACCCCAAACACTCTCTCGCACAATGAGTTACAGTTAAAAAAAAAAGTCATTCCCCAAACAACTTAGGTGCGTGGAGATTCAGCTGAACCTCATGCAGACTGACTCAAATTTTAAGTTTGAGGTTTCTGGGCGGTTGCTCCCCAGAGGTGGGCTGAAGAGAAGAGCTGTCCCTCCCAAAGCCCCTGAGGTGTGAGTGGACGCAGGCTTTCAGGGGCTGTTTCACGGAGCTGCTGGCCCACCGTGCCTGGCGTTGTGCTGCGGAGTCTCAGAGGGATTGACAAGGAAGGGCGGGGCCTAAGGGCCCAAGGCAGCACAACAGACAGCCTGTGTGGATTGGGTAAGGAAGGATGAGATCGAAGCGACCCAAACCCAGAGGCTGGCTTCCCTCCCTCCTCTCGGGGCTGCAGCTAGCTCCCAATCCCACCCCGCCCAGCGAGCTCTGGGGGAGGGAGGCACCTGCGCTCTTGTCCAGGAAGTAGGCCAAAAGGCAACGCAGGACAGCCTGGTGGCAGATGACCAGCACGTTCTCCTGCCGCTCCAGCTCCATGATCACGGGCTCCAGGCGCTGCACCAGGTCCTGGTAGGACTGCAACACAGAGGGACGGGTGCTGTGTCGTGGCAGCACACACAGGAAGGTGGCAGCTCGCCTCCCAGGCCACCCCTTGTTATAGACTAAGAGAACACACAACCCATCAGTCAGTCAGTCAAGACCCAGGGGCACTTCAGAGCCCTTGTGGGCGCTGGGGAAGCCACCTCAACTGGCTCCCTCAGAAAGGGAGTCATCAGGGTTGATGAGGATGTGGAGAAATAACCCTGAGAGGACGGAATCTGCATCCTTCCTCTCTCACTGCTCCCTCCCTCCCCTCAGGCTCTACACGAGAGAGCATGAGGAAAGGAGGTCCTGGTCCGGGGCAACGTGATGAACCCTGACAACGTTAAACTACATGACGAGCAAGACACAGCAGTCCCCGTGTAGTACAACTCCATTTATGTAAAACGTCCCAAGCAGGCAATTCCACGGAAAGTAGATTCGTGGTTGGCGCATGAGGGGGAATGGAGACTGAGAGCTAACAGGTTGGGGTTTCTTTTTGGATTGATGGAATGTTCTAGAATTAGTGGTAATGGTTGCATGATATTGTGAATATACTAAAAATCACTGGATTAAATACTTTAAAATGTTAAAACAGTGAATTTTGTATTATGTAAATTTTGTCCGTAAAAATAAGTTGAAAAAGAAGGGGTAGGCCTATGATTTTTAAAAACACCAAGCTCCCATTTACAATGGTCTCTCTGCTGTCCCCCTTCCTCTTCTTGCTAACCAGGTCCCAGGGACCAAGGGCCAGGGTGATATAAAAGGACATCACCTTGGGCTATGGGGGAACCGAGACATGACAGGCCACAGACAGAAAGGATTCCCACTCAGTGTCATCATGTGGAGGCCCAAAGGGGACCCCAGGGGACCACCTGCATTCCAGACTCTCTGTCCAGGGCTCTAAGCAGCTGCTTGCTCAGCCAAAGTAAGTTGTAAACAGCTTTTGAGAATGCCCTCCATCAGTGTCAACTCAGTCAGCATGACTGGCGTGAGATGACGTGTCTGCCATCTCCCACGCAGCCAAGGGGAGAACCCCCGAATCGGGTGAATAACCACCCACGATTGTTCTTCTCTCTCATTGTTCTGTATGTTGTTAGAGACACACACCTCCCACTGTTGCTCATAGGAAAATACAACTGTACTGCTCTCGGAGCTGGTCACAAGGTTCAGCTTAGGAAGACCCGAATTGAAGGTAAAAGGCCAGGAACAAGCATCAGAACAAGTGCAGGGCTCACTGTGTGCAATCCGTTCCTAGTACCTGTCCACCTGGGTGCCCAGCAGCCCTCCCCTGACACCCCGGCCTCTGAAGGACCATCGTGCGCCCCCCCACGCACAGCACACAGCAGCCACGGCTGACCATACTCTGTCGAATTGACAACGAACCCTAGGTGGAAGGGGGAGCAGCACCAGCACACGTACCTCCCCGGTGGGGTACCGGTAGTAGTACTTGTCCTGCTCACGCAGAGCGTACTCCTCGGGGTAGGTGTCCTTTATCTCCTCGTAGGTCATCTCCTCACAGACACCCTGCAGAAAACACCAAAGGTCACTTAAGGGAACATGCCTGCAGGGCCAGCTCAAATTGGTCAACCCAGCACAGGTCTGGAAGGGCTCTCAGGACTTCCACAGATATGGCTGGAAGAGGCTTCCCTGCTGTCCTGCTGCCGCCCGCACGGCCATGGCCAGGCCTGGAACTCACAGCATCGATTTCGTTGAGCGCCTTCCACTGTTCGTAGGGAAGCTGGAGAGCTTCTGCCGTCTGGATGGTACTCTTCAGCTGGCTGGTCCATACCTTGAGGTCCTTCAGGTTCTGCTCCTCCACGAATTTGCTCAGGGCGTTGGCAAACTGAGAGGGCATGGGACAAAAGGGACACACACTGGACTCCAGGCTCCTGGGCCTGCTGAAGAAGCAGTGCAGGGCTCGTTCCCACTCCACACTGGGGACGGTCACCCTGCTGTCATTCGAATGGTGAGGAGGAGACTGAACAACTGACAAGCTACTCCCACACCCCCTCCTCACAGCCCCGGAGACACTCCCTTCCCGTCCACATGAACACAGGCCCCCCCACAGGGACACATACAGATGCACACAGAGAGACACAGAGACACGTATGTAGACACATAACGGGAACAGACACATAGAAACACACACACGTATACAGGGTGACAGACATATACACAGGGACAGGAACACACACGTACATGGGGTTACACAGACATGGACATACACACAGGGACGGGAACACAAATGTAGACAGATGCACACAGAGATGCACATAGACACGCACACACAGAGACACATGCACATACACACATACATAGGGACATACACACACCCCATCCTCAGTCCCCTGCCTTCCCCACTGCTCCCCTCCTACCTTCCTGCCCCTGCTGGACAGGCCTGAGTCCCCTCCGATCTTCCCCTGGAGGTTGTGCTCGCTCTCGCCATGCCGGCACAGGTAGATGGTGCGGGGCTGCACATGGATGTTCATCAGGTAGTACACGATTCGGCTCTGGATGTGGTCCTGAACTCTGTTCACCAAGAACCGCCGGCCCACATCGATCACCTTGATCAGGGACAGGTCCCTGCACAGAAAGGTGACGGGCAGTCAGAACCCTGCTCCCGCCAGCACAGCACTGCCAGCCGGGGTCAGGTCACCCAGCGGGGGCCAACCGCAGAGCTTAGCCCCAACAGAGCCACAGCGGCTGGCGTACGCTCCGTGAGGGCACAGCCTGAATCTCTTTGATCTGAAAGTCAGAGTGTGAGTATGAGTGTGTAGCTCATGCAGCAGTGTGTGTGGTCAAGAGGCCGACTCGCCTCCCAGAAGAGGGGGAGAGAAAAGCAAGAGAATGGAAGGAAAGAAAGGCAATACCAAAGGGACCACAGCAAGACTGGGCTCAAATATCCACTTTCAGCATTTCTACATAGTGTCTGAAATAGTTACAATGAACGTGTAATCAAGGATTTTTTTTTAAGATTTTTTTTTCTCTTTACCCAAGGACATACAGGCTTACTGGTTTTAGAGACAGGAGAAAGAAGGGACAGAGAGAGAGGGAGAGAAACATTGACGTGAGAGTGAAACATCCATCAATGGCCTCTCACACGCTCCCTGACCAGGGACTGAACCCGTAACCTGGGCATGTGCCCCGATCAGGAATCAAACAAGCAGCCTTTTGGTTTACAGGATGACACTCCAACCAACTGAGCCACACTGGCCAGGGCTAAAAGATACTTTAGAAGAGAGTATCTAAAAATGTCCAGGAACAACCACATTGTGGGAACTTCAGGAAACATTAAAAGCCCTCAAGTAAGTGATTCAGAGACGATCACCCCTTAAGAATTACCTATCACATCTGTCGGGGTCGAGGGGCTGATAGCTGGCTTCGTAGCAACTGATTCTCTTCATGAAGTCGTCCATCGCCTCTGCTGAGTTGCAGTCTTTGTAATCTGGGCTGGAGATTTTCACTTCCTGTAACACCACAAAGAGGCAGCTGATGAATCATGCTGGAGGCTTTCTGCATAGCTGAAGCAGGATTTGGGGCTGACAAACTGGAAAGCACAAACAGACTCAGAATAATGATGATCGGACCCAGTGTTTAAGAGAAAAGAGAGAGATGCTGGTGTTGAGTCAGGACCCAGTGATTACACGGGCAGAGCGGCACGGCAGACAAAGGATCACTGTCTGGGTGGACAGAGACAGGAGGCCCACTAGACGTCTAATGAACACCTCTGAATGGGCCAGGATTTGGGATCCATCCAGTAGCCGTGTCACCCTCAGACTTCCCAGCCCTCAACCCAGCTGAGTTCCGTGTAAGCATCTGCCACGCTTCCCACACCAAGAGCAGAGGAGGTTGTCCGTTAGCAGAGCTGCACTAGGGAGTTGCTGGCGACGGCCCAGGCCCCGCGTGTCACGCAGGCTTCTTCCTCCACTCTCCACGGACGGGCAGAACACACAGCAGCTGGTCCTTGATTAACACTTTTCTACCTGGATCCCTTCCAAGGTTTGCTCTTATGGGAGGAAGACAGAGAATCAACTCTTGGGCCTGCCATCTCCTCTGAGTGAACAACAGGTCTGAGCAGCCTGGCAGACTTCAGGGAAACCCTGAATTCCTTAATGCATGTGTCCTTTTCCTCCTCAACAACTAGCACGGACATAAAAGAGAGGCAGCTACTCTTGCAAAACCCAAATGCAAGGGGGAGCTGGTGATTCACGGTGCAGAGTTTCAGTCTGGGAAGAGAAAAACGTTCTAGGGCTGGATGGCGTTGGTGGCTGCACAGTCACGAGACTGCAGAAAAACAATGGGACTGAGCACTTGAAAGCAAATCTTTTCTCCCTAGCACAGCCACCCCCACGGAGAGCACAGCGGAATGGCCTGAGCGGCCAAGTCGCTCTGCAGCTTAATCAGAGAAAGAGGCTTCTGAACTTGGGGGGGGGGGGGGGCGGTGGAGGTGAAAGGGACTCCTGGCCACGTCCATGGTGACTGCTCGCTGGGGAAGAGTGACTCTGCAACTGCTCCGTCCTTTACCACCAAGTGGAACGAGTAGAACCAAACCAAAGAAAACAGCGGAGCCCTTTGTTTAGACTACAATGACTTGTTTCCGCATCCTTGGAGCCTCTTCCACTGAACCCAATCTGGAGTGTTTTTCCACAATTTGAATAGCCTTTCCTGAAATATGAACTCATTTCTTAGATATGCTTGCAAATATTCTCACTGCCTTGGAGAAGAGGCCCAATATCAGAAGCTAATGAGCATTCAGCATCCTTTGAAAGATGCACACTTACATGCAGCAATACCACAGTGCTTCCTGTAGAAATATCAAACCTGCTTGTCTTTATAGCTACGTCTTATTCTGATGTACTGAAGTGGGACAGGAAAATACCTACAACATGAGAAGGCGGCTTGTGGTAAAGTCTTCACAGTAACTGTTTCTATTTGTGATCTATGGCTATTAAGTGATACAACTTAAGAATTAATCAAATTAAACTGCCAATTACCCTCGATCTCTTCAGGCAACCTCCCCACGACACAGGGAGAGGAGGAGGGCATACGGTAGACGCACCAGCAAGAAGACAGCCGGCCACCCCTGTGCTTGTCAGACTTAGGAATCCTGCCTTTAGCCCGCCAAGTCCTACTCTGATCTGCTAGGGCCCTTAATAGTAACGAGCCTGCTCCCCCTTTCCCGTGTGGAGGGGAAGCTGCCCCTTGCCTCAAGCAACCCATCAGAAACTGTGCCACCCACAAAAACTCGTCCTGAACCCTGCCTTCCCTCTCCTGTCCCACAAAGAAGGCTTTCTGTTGACTAACTGTCTGAAAGGACCCTGGATACAGCCAGGCCAGCGCACAGAACGTGCTTGTAAGCCAAATACCACTCTGCACTCCTGACCGCCCCAGACCCCACCTCTCCGACAGAAACCAATGACAAGCGGAGCGAGCCAGCTTGTTCTCCAGTGTAGTTCCTCCCCCTGGGCCAGGCCTGGTTTCTGCGTCCCTGCTTCTCTCAGGCGGCGCTATCAGAGCAGCGACTCTGCATTGTCTTACCATAATGTTAGAGGCCACAACTGTAGGGTCGTCGCACACCGACTCGATGAAAAACACCTGGGAAGAAGGGGGACAGGAGCCTTAGGAAACAATACCTGTGGTAGCACAAAGGGCCAACTTTGGTATCACTGTGATGCCAACTTTGGTATCACTGTGAGGAGGAATGACATGGCTCACAAATCCTCAAAACATAAAAAATGAACCACTTGCTCAATCCCAGTCCTTCCCCCACAGACAGAGAGGCCTCCCCCTCCCCAGTCCTGGTAACCCTGAGAGCCAGCCCCAGGAAGGCCCTATCCGTCTGCAGCAGAACCAGAGCAGCGGGGGCTGAAGAACCAAGTGTCAATCAGCTGATTCCTGAGGGGCTTCCTTCCTCCTGAGCACTCGAGGGCAAGACAAGAAGTCTGGCTCACCTTGAAATCATTTTCTTTGGCAAAGTGAAGGATCATGTGTCTCCTCTCTCTAGTAGTATTGGTGGCATCAAAAACCTGAGGAGAAACAAGGATAGTGAAGAGAACCCAAGTCTGAGTTTAACAGTATTTTTACCAAGTCACCAAGTAGGTCAGGCCTGTCACTTCTAGGCAGAAGCCAAAATATGTGGTTCCAGAAGAAACTGCTCCCTGCCCACAGCCCTCACCACCCTGCCCTCTCCCACCACCTCCAGCTTGCAGGGAGGGACAGAGAGGGATGGGAACAGTCCTTAAAGCAAATGAACAACACTGACATGCAGGGGAAGGGACCCTGGCTCCGTGGCTGCAGCCACCCCAGGTCCAGCCTGCCTCGCAGGGCGGTGCTGAGTGCACGGAGGGCTGAGCAGAGCCCACCAACTGCTGTGCCCCTGAGTCCATCCCACCAACTACCTTCTTGGGTTCCTGTGCTGTTCTAGCTACCTGCTTCCCTCAGCTCTCAGGGCAGAGGCATCTGTCCCCATTTGAGGTGTCCCCACAGTGGCCCTCAGTACTGCTCTGGCCAGTGTCTACATTTCACTCTCTCCAAGGCACCACCCCACTATAGGACTGGAGACAGACCCAGAGGGTTCCCCAGACTTACTGAAATTTGGCCCCCTTCCTTCGTCAGGTAACTTTTGACATCTCTCAAGGCAGCAAGGGCACACTGCCTGCAACACAAAGAGAGAGAGCTCAAGTCAGAGCCGGCCCAGCAGAGGAAAGTGACTGAAGATTCTACTGAGAACCTGCTCAGGCTGGCCGGGCCCAGACCCTGAGGGCCAGGGGCTCCCCCTCAGAGCCTGCACAGAGGGCTGCCGTTTGCCTCTGGCAGGGGTGGCACACATGCTGGCTGCACAGTGAGAGCCCCCTGGGAGCTTTTAAGAACCCCTGACCGAGGTCTTGCCCAGAGATCCTCACTAAACTGGTCTGGGGTAGGCCTGGCATCAGGATCTTTCCAAACTGCCAGGTGAATCTCAAATGTAGCCAGTGAAGCCATTGCACTTAGGTTTCATGGGCTTAAACTTTGAGCTTAAAAAAATTCTTTTCATATAAACAGCTGATTTTCCATGAAAACAATTTTGTTCATTCTTAATAGTGAAACATTGTTGTTGATCTGTATAGCATCAGCCGAACTGGACCATCTGGAGCAGATAAAAGCAACAAGCCTCAGAGAGGCCAGGAAACTCCTCCTAACGCCCAGGGAGATGAGGCCGGATCAGATGGCCACCTGCGAGGAGCCACACCGCAGGCCTCCTTCCTCTTTCTTTTACAGAACCTGGCTTTCCAAAGCAAAGCAAAGCAAACAGAAGCCCAAGGCCTCCTGCAGCAGCCCGGGCCTTACTTTCGGACTCTCATGGCCTCCTCATTGTCAGGGCGAAAGAAGTTGTAGGAGCTATACTGCTTCACAGCCTCCCTGCGGTATTCCCCGACGTTGAACACTGTGGACAGAAAAGAGAGGACTCTTAGCCGGCCCCAGGAAGAAGGGGCAGCTCGCCACTGGGAACACTCTCCAAACAAAGGAAACCAAGCCAGTACAAACATGCACAGCATCTTGAATGAGATCACTAAGGCATGGGAGCCAGGAAGTGGACCCCTTGGCCCAGTGCTTTCACTGACCCAGAAGGCCGCCCAGCTTCCCCCAGACTGAACATGGCTCGGAGCTGCCTGTTTTTCTGCAGGTCGTCTCCTACTGCCCAGTGTCCAGTCCAGCCTCATAAGGTCAGGGACTGGAGGCCGAGACTGTGAGAACAGGTGGCAGTCACAGTTAGTGAAAATAGGGGGCGTGATGTCTGTCGACAATGCCGAGGAACACGGCCAGGTCCAACTGAGCCACTCTTCTGCTGACACAGCCGCCAGTGCCCACGGGAAACACTGAGTGTTTACTGGGCACTGACTGTGTAAGACGTCGTGCTGTGACCAGTGGAGGACAGCAAATGTAAAAATAAATCCCTGTCCTTCCAACATTTTCTGTAGTCGAGGACACCAGGCAAAGACTCATCAAAATATAGTCAACTGGCATGCAGCACTTTATGACAGTCAGTGGAGGAATGTCACCACTAAGTGCCTTGGGAATTTAAAGGAAAAGGTCAGCATAGATTGCAGCAGCTAGAGAGGCTTCTGAAGGAGGCGAGGGCTGAGCTGCGCAGGATCCGGGGCAGTGGGAATAACAGGGCAGCCAGTGAGAAAAAGACCCCACCCAGCACAAAGTAAACAGTGTGGTGGGTGACAGAGCAAAAAGAGCCCCCCGGCCCTACTACAGGGTCAGACCAGGCCAAGAGTGGCCTGGCATGGTGAGTCCCAGCAGGTGGACATGGGGAAGGAGGCGGGTGAGCGGGACTGCAGCACACAGTGTGACTACCAGTCTCGGGACGCGGCCTCACCTTTCGTGGGGACGCCAATCCAGTTGAGGTAGCGAGTCAGCTTCTTGGAGATGTAGGTCTTGCCCCGGGCTGGGAGGCCCACCATGACGATCACTGTCGGGGACTTGGTCAGCTTCGGCCCACAGGCTAGAAGAGCGACAAAGAACAGTGCCACAGATGAAGCAGTGCTGGAGACAGACAGAGCCCTGTACCCTACAACAAACAGAAATTCCAGAGAAATTCCTATTTCATTCCAACTGTAACGCCCTGGGCATACACAACCCGGCAGGACTAGCACCTCCTGGTGGCCAGGGCCCTTTAATCACACCTTGCAGCTCCATCTTTCTTGCTTTCAGATGATGAATGACAGTGACCTTAATTCCCAGCCACATACTGCAGGGCTCTAAAGCCAGCCTGGAACCCCATTACTAACCCCAGAGTGGAAGACATTCTGGGCATGTAAGGAAGGGACCCCCTCAAAAACCAAGTAGGATGAGGTTCACAGTAGGAGAAGCATTTCCAAATGCAATATGTAAATTGAGGTGACAGGTAAGAGCGGGCTTCCACAGTCAAAATAGAGAAGCCAATCATCAACTTCCCAACCTCCACACAGAAGGTCTGGGTGGCCTTCCTAAAAATTTTTGTTTAAAGACAATTTTAAAAAGTAAGAGTTCATCAAATGAAAATAGGTCAGGGACCCAGAATGCTGCCCCCACCCCCATTAAGGGTGATAGATTAATCCCTCTGTCTCCGAAACTCTCCTGCCCTTTTCTGTTAAGTTCTGATTGATGCCAGAGCCCTGCTGAAAAATGGCAGACCACAGAGTCCCAGATGCTCCAGGTCACCAAGCCCCACCCAGGCAGAGTTCCAGGAAACCCAGAGGTCTTGCCCTGTGAATCTCCTTCTCGCTTCACTGATTGACTATTACTGTCCCATGGTCTCCAGAATTTCAATCAAACAAAACACCAAGGAGAGAGGTTTTTCACTGTTTCAAGCAAGCAGCCCAAAGAGCCCTATTCTGGACATTTAACACACATTATTTTCTTGACGGGCATCTTGTCCCTGAGACTCAGGCATCTCCAGCATCCTGGTGATGATGAGCGCATGTGGGCCGTGGGCCAGGAGCTGCCCATTGGGAGCAGGAGGCCGGCCGTCTAACCACTCCCAGCCCGGCATCGCTGGCCGGCACTCACTGGCTTGCACGATCAGCCCAGCATGCCTCATAGCCACGCAGCATTGCTTCCCAGGCACTGGCCACAAGAGTGCGGGCAAAGCTATTCAGGCTGCACCCCAAATCTAGGCAGCCGCCAGACTTAAGACAGGTGCTCCGTCTCTCTTTAACAGGTGAGTGCCACGTGGGGGAGGAGGGGAAACCAACAGACCACTGACAGGCACAGGCTTGAAGGAAGACACCTCCTCCTAAGTTGGATGTGCCCTCACACAGTCCCATTCTCGGCCTGGAGACCAAACTGAGGTCAGGTGTCCAAACACCCACTGTGCTATTCTAGGACCTGCCCCCGGACCTGTAGGCCAGGGGCAAGGAGGGAGCAAGCACAATGCACAGGGGCTATTTCTTTCATGGTCTTAGGCCACCAGTGACTTCCATGCAGAGTGAGGAGGAGGAGGAGGAGGAGGAAGGGCCATCAAGAGGCCAGGGCACTTTCAGGAGCCACAAAAGCTCTCGACTAGGATTCCTCAGATTCCAACAGCCAGGAACAAACAAGTGCTTAATGTGAGCACAAGAGTGACGAAAAGATGTGCCAGTGGGCTTCCTGGAGTCCCGAGGGGCAAGCAGAGAAAGATGATGGGATCCCCGAAAACCAGTGGGGACAGGGACACACACTGCTGCATGCACTGTGGCAGCTACAGGTGGCACATGAGGAAAGTGTTCTCACGTGTGCTCCAGAACAATGCTTACTCTGCTAGTTCTTCCCCCAAGCCACCGGTTTTTCCCTGGTCCTAGCTTATGTGCCCACCATGCTGCTGCTCCCAAGAGCACCCAAATACGCACAGGGACAGATGGACACACTCACACGCTCTAGCTCTAGCTGCGCACATGCAGGGGATGCTTCTGTTGGACTCGTGCCAAGGAAGTGGAGACAGAGACTGACTGATTTAACGAATTGGGGATTAATTCTATTATCCACTAATCATACGCAAAAACCTCCAAATCTCCTCTGGCAGTAGATGCTTTGGCAGAAAAAAAACACACAAAAGACATAGCAGAGTAAATATCTTAAGCCGAAAAATCAGGTTGAATGGCAAACCCAAATAAACCATCAGTCCCCTATTTGGCAAAGCAGCAGTCATGCTTCCTACTCCTTGGGCTTCTTGCATAAGATCCAAAGGAGCTGCAGGGGGACTGCCAAAGGTGGCTGCAGCTGTCCCCGGGCCCAGCCGCTCCTGGGTCTCCAAATGAGCAGGGAAACCACAAAACGTTTTGACTAAACCTTTGAGGCTTAGTCTCCTTCATCTCTGCCCCCTCTTTTTTTAAAGTCACAGCGCATCTCAAGCACCTTTGTGGGCCTACAGTCACCTGCCCCTGCTTCAGTTCCTCCCAGACCCTCGCTTTCTTCTTCTCCACAACCCCCCTTTTTTTTAACCTGTGGGAAGGAGAGCCCTTCCCACCCCTCATACCAGGCTCCCTGGACCTCTGCCTTGTCTTCTTCCCCAACAACACAGAGACTAGGGAACAACACTACGGGGTCTTAACACAGGATTTCCCAAAAAGTACTTGTGTTTCATTTCCTCTTACACAAATGTTTGATATTTTAATTTCTTCTTGACACAGAAGTTTTTATACATAGATGTACTGAGACATCGATTTAGGTGTCAACATAAATGTGCACGTGGGGACTGTAGGTGTTCACTGGGTAAAGGGTCAGAGCAGCAAGTGTGTAGAGATCACTGTGGGGGACAGACTGTGAACACCTTGATCGCAGTTGGGCTGGTGCTCAGGCTCACAGTGTCACCTGTGGTTAAGGCCATCCATCACTTGAGCAGGAGCTCAGAGAAAGTCACCAAGTTCTGGGAGCTCACCCTCAACTCTCTAGTGTCACCACATTCACTCAAGGACACACGTGCCGGGTGCCTTGTGAGCACGAGGCATATGTGGGCACCCTCCCTGTGCTGAGAAGCACCTAGTCTGTGGTGGGGGGACAGATGCTACACAAATAAAAGCCCAAATACATTTCAGAGAGTAACAAATGTTAACAGCGCACAGCAGACATCCCTCTGGAGAGTGCTGGCACTGGGACGAGCCATGGCTGTTGGGTGAGTTAGAACTGGGTAGGCAGGACTGGGGTCCTCGAATGGCACCTGGGCTGAGACCTGATTGTCCACAGCCAGGCGCACCATTTTCTTAGTATGTCATGCACCCCGGCTGCATGGGCTAGTTCCCCACACGTAACCGGTTACAGGACCCAAAGGATAACCTGGAGGCTCATTGGTGAGTGCCGGGAACGGCACCTATGGTGACCTGGGCAGCCAATCCGGGAAAAGGCTAGCCGGAAGGACAGAGGCTACAATTCCAATCCCAGCCTCACAGCCCAGGTCGGGCCGCTGACCTCTCTGACAGCATGCACCGTACTGACACGAGTGAGTGAGAGGGCACTCAGCAGCCGTCCTCACCCGCCGTGCTGACACCCACAGCCCAGGCTCAGAAAATAAGCCCCTGGAAGACACTTTGCTGCTGCTCCCATCCCTCCTACAAGCTTTCTTCTACCCAGAAATGCTAACCTCAAAAAGATGCCGAGTCATTTGTGTTCTTTTCTACAAGCAGGTAAGTTACGGCTTCAATGAGAAGTCCCAGGGGAACAAACAAATGGAGGGGGGTGGTGTTTAAGACTGACACACGCAGGTAGGCTCAGCCCCTGCACTGCCTAATGACATTTTGACTGCCGCAAGTCTACAGTAACCACTGAAACCTACTCCCTCCTGGCAAGGGCACAACCAACTCTAGAAAAAGACCTGCTATGACCCTGCAATTACGCCTGAGAAGGACCCCCTGGGTAACTGGCTGCCTGCACTTGGACCTGGGAGAATGAAATACAGGTTCAGAAAGTGATAGTGAACACTTAACTATTGTCTACTGGACGTAAACCCTCTCCCCAGATCCATCAGCCCAAAGAGTCTGCTTAGTTGATGTTAAGAACTGATATCTAAGTGAGCTTGCCCTAGGCGGGTGTGCCTGAGGCTTTAAAGGGGTGGGGAGAACCCAGCCAAGCCAGTACTTGGCTCTTCAGTACTATTTGGTGAATATCATGCTAATTTATTACTTAGTGTGCACATTTTAACGCATGCCTAACTGATCTTTATCCAATAAATGGGCTTCCCAACCAGACATGGTCGCTGCCAGGACAGCGAGGGACAGGGCTTTTTAGTGAATCATTTGACAACCTTGAGAGGCAATAGTGGCTTAGAGGGCAGGGCCTGGAGTCAATAAACAGAGTTCAAAGCCAGTTCCCACAGCTTCCTTGGACCTTGGACAAGTGGCTTGATCTCTCAGTCTTAGTTTCTTTTTCGGCGAAATGGAGGGATGCTTCAAACAGTTTCTTACAAGGATTAACTACACCATAACATACTTGAAATGCTTTCGACAGCAACCTATATCAGCACCAGCCTTTATGGTTTTCAGCACTCCAGATGAGGAAACGAACACCCACAAGTGAGGTGAGGGCCCACGGAACAAGTACTAAGGGACAAGGTTGGCGCTCACCCAAGTGTCTCTCACCTGAAATCCTTTAGGGGCTCTTTCTCCACCAGTGGCTGAACCTATGAAGCTCTTAAAAAATAGGATGCCCAGGCTTCCCCTGCGGCAATTCTAATTTGGTTTGGAGTACCTGTATGGATTTTTCACCCCCAAAATGACACTAACATACAGGCAGAGCCAAGAATCAACTATATTGGCCACCCATGGACAGGTGGGGATTTCTCTTGAACAGCACCCCCACCTTCTTCCTTCTTTAAGTTAGAATATCACCAGTGGTTTTTAGTCCCTACTGAGATGAAAACCCTCTCTTAGTAGATGGTGTTAACCTAGCTCACAGATGAGAAAACTGAGGCTCTGAGTGGGTAAATAAGTAGGGACTCGTATGCAGAGACTCTCCACTGTAACTGATATAACAGAAAGGACAGGCAGTCCTTACCAGTTAGTAATTGCTATCCCTGCCGATGAAGATGGTTCACTAATTCAGTAAGTTGCCCTGAGTTACGGTTTGCATTTGAAGGAAGCTGCAGGTTTTGTAAAAAGCATTTAGCACCACAATGCAGCTACACAAACAGGGCATCAAACGGATGTGCTTCAGAAGCAGAATATCAAGAAACCTAATCCATCTAAGCCTCTCTGTTGTTTTACTGATCCCTGCCTATGAAGAATAATGTTCCCCATGCCCTCAGAGGAATGTGCTGTAGACCCCCAGTCAGGACACCACTTAGAAAGATGGTAATGGGTTTGGGAGGAAGAAAATCCATCCAATGCTCCAAATGCCATTAAAGAATGAGGTGCGGGCGGAAGAGGGTGATCAGGAAAGATGTCAAGAAAGAATACCCTGTTTTCTCTATTCCGATGAGAGATCAATGTAGCTACGTAAACACAGAAAGTCACTGCTACTTGAGTTAAGGGCATATACCATAATAACTATTTTGGCTGCAGATATTTTTTTAAGAAAGAATGCATCTGAGAGTATACCTCAGAACCACACTCAGAATTCCAGAAGTAGGCGGCGACAGGGAATTAACCCATCAGCTTTAGCACTCCCACCCCCCAAGCTCTGAATGGTTCTGACAGGGATTTTTAGGCAAATCTCTCATCTGCGTGTGAGACGTGCAGGCTGACAGAGTCTAATGGATGGGTCTCCAATGCCTGGAGGAAGGAAGCTTCGCTGCACACTTGTGTCTCTCAGAACCACACAACTAAGCAAATGCAGCCAATCTCAGTGCCCTCTGCGCAGAACCTCAGCGTCATTCCTCCCAAACCTCAGCCCACCACCATGAACCTCAGGGGACTGCCAAATATGCCTGTGTGTACACATACATACAAGTGCATGCACATACACATGCATATAACCAACCTATATTTGTACCACCAATTACAGTTTACAAAGTGCTCCATAAATATGTTTTATTCCAAGTCACAAAGGGCGAGATCGTTTCTGCATCTTACTGTGGCCAACCTCCCTTGGGATTTGAGGCAATGCATTCCTCACTACCAACAGGTTTTATAGAAATGAAATCATACTGTGGTCAGCCCAGTTTATGAGCTCTTTAAAAGAGTTTATCTAAAAGAAACAGACCTGCCAAGCCCCAGACTACCTTACAAAGATAGTTTTCCTTAAGGCTTCTGTGACCCCCCCCCCCAAAGCCTAGGTTCAGCAGAGGTGACAAGATGGTAGAGGAGTGGCCCCCAGTGTCAGGAGTGCCTTACCAGCTCCCCATCACCAGTGTGACCAAGTACCACAGGGCCAGCTCCCTCAACCTCCTGGGGCACATGGGGTGGAGACAGTGATTCAGACCTGGACAAAGCCCAAGGTGTTGAGCTGTGTGAGCTGTCACCATGGCCATGATGATCCTGCAAAACCTGACAGCGGGGAAGGTCAGCAGGCCACCTCCTGCTCAACTGGAGCCACTGAAGTCTGGAAGCCGCCCGTAGGGTTTGCACCTGGGATCCCATGTTTACCTCTCAGGCGATCTAACCTGGCCTGGGGCAAAACACCCACCACCAGGTTCTACTCTATCCACCTGATGGGCTCCGCGGCATGTTACTCGCATGTTACTTGGAAGAGCGGTGTTTCCTTCAAACCACTGAAACTACCCTTTGAAGAGGTGACTCTCTCCATAGCTAGGGACAGAAACAAACATAAATCTTTCCAAAGCATTTATGGCCAACGACAGACGGGGCAGGTTGGTGAACTGCCAGTGAATTCCGAGCGCGGGGTATGCACGCGCAGGTGAAGCGCTGCCAGGTTTCAGAGCAGGATCGCTTGTAGCCCCCAGCACAGGAGCTGGAGGTGGGAGCAGAGAGGAAAGAAATACAGAGAAAAGGAGAGAGGTTAAAAGAGAAAAGATAGAAATATGAAGTGAAGTAGTAGAGAGAAGATTAGAAATAAGAGAAGAGAGAAGAGACACGGGAAATGGAATATAGAGTGATGAAAGAAGGCAGAAATAAAGAGAGGCAGGGAGAGAAGACAGAAATATACAGAGAGGTTAAGAAAGGTGATGGAAATAGAGGTAGAGAGGGGTCTAGAGAGGAGGGGAGGTAAAGATGGAGTGACCCAAGGTGACGACCAGCGGACGAGCGGCCGTGTCCCTTGGCCGGATTCAACCAGAGGGTGCCCAGGAAGGTGGCCGAGACTAGGGAACACACAGGCAGCTCTTCCCTAGCGTTCCTTAGCAAAGGCTCTCTGCAGTACCCTGCGCTTCCCGCCCCAAGAGCTCAGGGAGCGAAGCCTCGGCGAGCACCGCACAGCTCTGGAGTGCAGCCGCCCAGGGGAGGCGCAGCAACAGCGCAGGAGCCCGAGCCGTCCCCGCCCTGCGCCACTTCGCCTACCCCACCCAGCGCACCGGGGAGGAGCGGAAAGCGCCTAGCCTCAGCCGGCGGAGACAGCTCAGGCACCGGGCCCCGCATCAAGCGCGGGAGCAGAGGAGTCGGCACAAAAGCGCCCGGCCAGCGCCCGCCTCACAAAGGCACTGCTCTCCACGCGGCGCGCCGCTCCCTTGCAGCCGACCCCCGCGCACATCTGCACTCACATCTAGGCAGCGAGGGACGGTGGTCCACCGGGATCCAGATCTTCTGTACCCGGCTCTGAGTCAGCTCCAGGGGCATCTTCACAGCCTGGACTCCACGGCCCTCCCCTTGCGAAGAATTCAGACTTGGGGAAGCGAGCGGCTTGTCGACCCCCGAAACAAAGGAAAGGAGGGGTTGTGCGAGGGAGCACGGCCCCGGCGCTTTCCCTAGCGCGGCTTTTTGGAAACGTGCTTTGTGCTAAATGATGAACGCTCGCCCGGGATGTGAGGCTCCACAGGCGCTTGGAAAGGGACGGGGGTCTGGGGCTGCACCTGCAGCTTCCGCAAGGCCAGGCGCGTCCACTTGGGAAATCTCCGGGATGCTCGGAGAGTAGTGACAGCCGTGGACTCCGTGTGCCAGCTCGAGTCCTCCACGTTCTCCACCCGCTCGCCTCCTCTTCAGCTCTGGTAGGATACCCAGAGCTCCGCCTGGGCTTTTAAGAGTCCGGCCGGCTGCGACGCACACGTCAGCCTGGGGGCGGGGACGCATTCTTTGGGTTCCAGCCGCCCCCCACCCCGCCCCTTCACGTGGGGAGGTGGCGGGGAGTGGCAGAGAGCGTGCAAAGAGGCGGCCTGCTGGTGCCCCCTGCAGGCCGGCGTCAGTAGTGTGCCCTGCTCCTGTAGATAACGCCAACCCAGACTTGGCTGAAGGTCCTTTACTCCGTGAGCCTCCTCTTACGATCCCCTAAAGACTACCGGCACAACTTCCCAGACTAATCGCCTCAGTTGTGCTGCGAGGAAAGGAATGGAGCTGTCCAGTGGTTCATGGACCCGCGCAGCCGAATCACCTGGGAAGCTGGTTAAAATGCATCCTACTGATGGCTTTGGAAGTGGGACGCCAATATTCTGCATTCTTAACACACAATCTGCGTCAGGCACAGTCAAGTTGAGGACTCTGAGGGAGGATGCTGAGAGCGCCCGTGGGGCACAGCTCCCTGGTTCGCTCCTTGCCAGAGCTTCTTCCTGATAATACGTGTGAGCCTCACCCACCATGACCCCCGCCACTAGCAAGGAGAGGCCTCCTGCGGTACTTCGACCTCACCCCGCCCACTCTTCCTGAATCCAGTTGAAACCTTGATTTGTCCTGCCTGAGTAATGCTCTCTCAACACCCAGTTCCGAGACCTGGAGCCAGAGCAGCACGTGAGGAGGGGGTGGGAACTCCCCGGAGGCAGTACCCAAATGGACCCAAGTATCTTGGTTTTCATAGTACCACTTACAATATTTTCAACATGCCTTTATCTCTCCTAGTAGGAGAGTAAATAAAAATAGATCGTAATAGACCTGCAAATGATTACTTGACTATAAGCCCCAGAATGACTGTTGGGAGGCAGCAGCACCTTGATTATGCAAACCCCTAAAATTCATGACACGTATCCCGCACAGCCCTACTGCAGCTCTTCCTCGTCAGTTTTGGGTGTTTATTGTGTCCTTTTTGCCTCCCTGGTCCTTGCAGTTTTGCAGCCGGCGACGTGTGACAGTCGTGTAGTCAGGCCTGTGACTGCTTGTGAAAATCTGGAGCACTTTTCTCGGGGACAGCCACCAGTGCGAGGGCATTACAAGGCTGTGCGCGATGCATCAGTAGAGAAGGGCTACCCTGCTTGGCTAGGTGCACACCTCACTCTCGGGTTGGGCTGTGATTGCAAGGATGTAGGCGGCGCTCCCTGAAACCCATAGTGCAGCGGAATAGCCTGAGCAGAGGCTGCCACACGTCGCTCACGTCCCGCATGGCTATGTTGGGACTGTGCCCGATCTCCTGCGGCCGGCACAGCTGCCGCCAGCACAGCTGCTCCTGCTCCGCCCCACCAGGGCCTCCCCTCTTCCCAGCTCTCGGATCTGTCCAGAGGCCGCCGGGAACGTGGAGCAATACCACCAGGCTAGGGCCCTCGACCTCCCCGCCCCCCCGTCCCCTACCGCCGCTTAGTGCCCAGCCCTTCCCGGAGTCGCTGCTCGCTCGCTCTCCAGCAGCTTTGCTGACTGTAGGGTTTCGGCCCTCGGCAACTGTTCAGAAACCCGAGTGTATATCATCGGACTTGTTTTTCTGCAATGGGAGCAAATGCCAGAGATGACACCCTATAACGCCCCAGGGCGAGTCCCACTCCACTCTTGAAATAGGAGTGCGCAGATTCAAAGAGAAAAGCGTTCGCATCGAGCGCCCGCGCCTCCGCGCCTCCAGGAGACATCGCTGCCCCGGGTTTCGCTGGAGTCAGGAAGGGGGGCCGGCTGTGTGTGTGTAACAGCGGCTGCACCCCTGGATGTCTGCGCTCTTGCTTCCCCGCGAAGAACCAGCGTACCTGCATGCTTGCTACTTCTCCACTGGGTATTTTCACATACACTTGCCAATGGGGCAAGGGAGAGAGGCGGCATTCTCCCACCCTCTAAGTATGCGAACAACTGTGCTGGGTTTCAGCTTAGGACGTACAAGGACCAAAAACTCGGAGGCATATCTCTAATCTCCTGTCCTAATAACGTGTCTGCTCCGCGTCCAGCTCTGAGGGCACGAAGCAGGAGACTTAACTCTCAGATCCCAGCTTGAAGTATCCGCATCGCCACGTAGACCCCGCACTTTATCTGCGGGTGTCAGTTACGCCTTAGGCGGCCATTGCTGCCCCCCAAAGACTGCGTTCAGCCTCATCACTTCCTGCACCTGAGGGGGGGCAGCCAAACGGAAGTTCACTTAATCTCCGTCCCACTTCTGCTATCAGGGAATGCGCGGGGGGAGGGGGAGAGGCAAGGATGAATTCAGGCTTTAAAATAACTTTAAAATAAGCAGGGCAGCAAGAGCTGGTGCCACGCTTTCAGCCCTCAAGTAAATTAGGGTAGCACCCTACTGAAGATAAAATTACTTCATGGCAAAACTGTTTATAAGCAACCCAACTGCAACTAAATATTTTGGCTCAGAATTGATGTTTAGACATCCGTGTAACTCTTCCCCCAGTTCTGCTAATGGCTGCACCTTCACCCAGGTGTCTAGGGCTTTTTATCAACTTCTGATCCCCAAGCAGGTGATCAGCAACTCACTCCTTCAGAAAAGGCTGCGGAGAGTACAAAAAAACAACAACAACAACAACAAAAATAAAACCCTCTAATACAAAGATATTTTTAAAGCCAGGACAGCTCTAAGTATTAGGAGAGATTCTACTATTCATGGCACTATTAAGTCTAGACAATCCCATCATGTTTTAACTGAGTAAAGGAGAGTTTAGAGATTACAGGGTTTAAGGAACTAGGTCAAAGGCCAAGAAACACAGCAAATTAGGAACTTTTTCCCCCTACTTGACACAGACAAGCTTCCCCAGGGGTTGCTGAGTGGAGTCCTAAAGCTGGTGACCACACTGATTCAGCCCCTCTCACCCAGAACAGTTGAGCTGTTTGGCTGGAAAGCACAGGGAAGGAGCTTCTTGCGCAGTAGGTAGTGCCTCATGGAGGTACTGATAGAGGAGAATTCTTCCCCCACCCCCACCCCAAGGACATGCTTATTGATTTTAGAGAGAGGGGAAGGAAGGGAGAGAAACATCAATCAGTTTGCCTCTTGCTAGGCACGTGCCTTGACTAGGAATTGCACCCTCAGCCTTTTGGTTGACAGGACAATGCTCCAACCTACTGAGCCACACCAGTGCAGAGAGGAGAATTCTTTAGCTAGGTCTAGAGGAAGTGAACGGATGTTGCAAGTGGTTTTCCTCCATGACCTCTCTGCCCGATTCCCTCTGCCGACCAGTCCGTGACTCTTGCCCCTGCTCCCTGATGCTCCCATAACAACAGCAAAAGCAACCCCATTTCCATGATTGGGTGCCAGCTAGCCAGACTGAAACAATTACACCATGCTAGTGCCCACCTCCTCAGTGAGAGAATTGGAGAAAGAACAAGATGTGGCAGGCTGTGAGCAAACAGAGTTGCTAATTAGACACAAAGTGTCATCATTTGCTCCAGTGAATTGCATTCCATGTATAAGACAGTGCAGTGAGACACCAAATAAAAGACCAAAAATAAACCTTTACCTCGCCACCCATCCAAAGACAGGGAAGAAGGCAGCTTTTTACAAGAAAAATGTTTGCCCCTCATACGTGAATGGAACACAGACACAGACATGCACACAATGCTACATTGGCAGATTAAAAACCCAATTCAAAATGTGCACACTAAGGTTTATAGCAGCTTTATTCATAATCAACAAAATGTGAAACCGGCAAGATGCCCTTCAGTAGTAGGTGAATGGATGAATAAGTTGTGGTGCATTCAGACAATGAAGTATTATCATGGCCATCAAGCCATGAAAAGACAGGAGGAAACCTAAATGCATATTACGGAATGAAAGAGGTCAATCTGAAACTGTTCCATACTGTATGGTTCCAATGTAAGACATTCTGGGAAAGGGGAAACTATGGAGATAGTAAAATATCAGTGGTCGCCAGGGACTAGGCAGGAAGGAGGGATGGGTAAGTGGAGCACAGAGGCAGTGAAACTGCTCTGTATGAGGCTAGAATGGTGGGCACATGTCATTGTACATTTACCCAAGCCTGCAGAATGCACAATGCCAAGAGGGAACCTAATGTAGACTATGGCCTTTGGGTGATGATGACGTATGTATCAGTGTAGGTTCATCCTTTTAAAAAAATGTATCCTTAAAAAAATGATGTTGAGAGTGGGGGAGGCTGTGCGTGTGTGTGAGCAGAGGAGTGCATAACTATACTTTCCTCTGAATCTTGCTGTGAATCTAAAACTGATCCAAAAAATAGTCTATTTTTAAAAATCATTATTTTTCTTCAGATGTCACATACACTCTTCTCCAGTCAAGTAGACTTACATGCTGTGTCGTGGGGGTGTGAGGATGGTTTCTTGGTGGCCACAGCCTGGCTCTGGATGAACAGACACTGTGCAACTGAGGCCCCACTGAACCGTCCAGCAAGTTTCACATTCCTCTGCCCAGTCCATGCTGCTCCACTCCCTGCCTCTCCTTTCCTTAGGGCACACCCCGGAGCTTGGGAGCATGATCTTAAAACTGCCTGTTGGTGTTTCATATCCAGCATCACGCCTGGCTACTGCTTTCAGAGTATGTACACTCCTGTCAACCTCCTCACTCAACATCAAGACATATATTATTTGTGTTTAGAAGTATTATTTTATGACTTTAAAATATTTCTGCTCTTAAAAAAACAGATATTCTGTAGTCTAGTTAATAGTATTGTACCGATGTCCATTTCCTGGTTCTGATATTTCACTCTGGTCATGTAAGATGTCTGCTTTAGAGGAAGCTAGGTGACGGGTTCATGGGACTCTATGTTCTGTTTTGTAACTTCTTGTATTTCAAAATAAAAAGTGCAAAAAAATTAGAATCAGTGACAGCTCATTTTGTTCAGAGCTTGGGGAGGGAATGCACAGATTGTACAGGCACTGAGGGTGAGGGGAGCTGGCAGAAAGGTAGTCAAGATT